TAGAAAGAATAATTTAGGTGAAAGTCTTAAAAATGGACAATGTTAAATAATGAAATAGTTAAGGAGTGGGTTCATTAAAAGTGATACAAACAAATCTTAAACATTTTAAAACATGCATTTTTAAACCACACCTCACCTCTAACGCATCTGATTTCCCATTGGAGTGAGAAGTGAAATACAGTTGTAAACTACATGAAAATTTCTATTTTTATGACTTTCCTGCCACGTTCTGAGTTTTCTGATCTATACCTAATTAGGTATAGGTGAGACAATTCACCTTTACCAGATATTTCCAAAGCAGTCATTTTAGTTTTCATAGAAACAACTCTCACATTTTATCAGTTTACATATTTAAGTCTCTTAAGAAACAAGTACGACTGGAATAAACGAGTTTAGAGAGCACAGATGAGTCTGTTAAGCAAAAAATGTGCAACTAGAAAAATGCTGGGATGCAGGTCCTAACTGCGCTCTACGCACTGGGTGCTTTACAGAAAAAGGAGGCAGTTACTACAGCAAGCCCAAGCAGAAATAAGCTTCATGCGTTTGTTGGAGATAAGAGCTTTCATGTTAGCATGCAACGATATTATACTGAAGCTTTATTTGTACACTTTTTACCTCAAGATAGTCTTCCTTTTGAATATACACTAGAAGAGTTAGAAAATCCATCTTATTTTGTTGTCAAAGATCTCTTTCTAAAGTTGCACAATGTCAGTGACGAAATACGGAAGTAACACATCCAAATTAGTGTTTCCATTCTGAATCTGTTACTATTCATAATGAAGTCTTAGTTTGCTAATATATTTAAATGACATTAATGTCAAGGGCATCTGTAAGAAGCAAAAACTTATCTAATTTTCATCTTCGGCTTTCTAATTGTCTTCTCGTGTACATGTTTTCTTGTTTCCCAGGTTTTGCTTTTCTTTTGGTCAAATTTGTCTTTGGTTGGTTCTGCCATCTGCTCTGCTCTAGCAGGATAAACTAACGCTATGCTATATTTACTTAGAAGTATGGCTGACAGTCACTGAAAACCAAAAGTTGCAAAAACAAAGATACATGATTATTTAAGCTTTATTCAGGTAGTGACTGCGTTTAGGATCTTAATGATACAATATGAACTGAAAGTAATCAACTTTCTACAACCCCTAAACTGCATCAAAGCAGTAAAGATTACCCTAAGAAATCTTCAATGGCAATCAAATTCTACATTCTCTGTAAGAAACAAGAAGATAGTAACAATTGCGGGCTTGCCACAGGCCCAGGGATTGTGCTAATTAAGCACTATGTACTAGTTCATTTAATCTTTCTGAAATAGGTTCTATTATCATTCATTTTTATTTTATTAAACCATGAGGTAATCTAGGCTTGGAGCTAGTTTAATGGACCCAGGACTGCAGGGCAGGTCAATCAGGCTCCAAAATCTATACTCTACGCCAGAATATTATGCAGCAGCTTCAGAAGTGTTTCAAAAGCATCCCATCAAAAAACAGATGCCAAGCTATTTAAACCACCTTTTCTTAGGAAAGGAATGTACCATTCTAACCATAATATACTGTTTAACTCCTGCCTCAGGTTTTTCAACACAGCCAAATTACTTTTACTTAAAATTACTTTTACACATTAAGATCGAGATATTTTGTCATCATTTAAATCTTCTCTATTAATGAAGCTCCAATCCTTTATTAAAACCATTGCTCTACTGTGCACACAATTAGAATTAATTCAGGGAGTAGGTGTAAGTATCCATTAGATTCCTCCAATATAAAACTGTTCTGTTGAAAAAATGAGGCGGGGGAAAGTGGCGGGGGGCGGGGGGAGATTCTAAAAGATCTAAGTAAAAACGAAAATGTAGTCACACATAAGCCTGTTGAGATGAGGCTAAGTAGTAATAAGCAGATTCTCACATTCCTCTTTAAATATATAAGGATAAGGGGGAGCATAATTGCCTCCTCAAGTGTGGACTGAATTTCATTCCGCAGAGTACAACATGGAAAGGAAGAGGCGAAAAAGTAATTTTAGAATGGAGAAACTGACACTATCTCAGCCAGGAGATCAAGATCAACAGGCATATGTTGGTGGTATGTAACCCTGATACATGATGGAAATGGTACTTTACCTATGTGAGCTTCTCTCCAAAACTCATAACCCCAATCACATAAGAAAAACACAAGATAAATTCCAAAGGAAGAGCAATCTACAAAATGCCTAACATGCACTCAATACTGTCAAGGTCATCAAAAACAATTGTGAAGAACAATCACAGCCAAGAGGAAACTAAGAGACACTATAACTAAAATATGGGATCCTTAATGGCATCCTGGGCAAGACAAAGGACATTAGGCAAAAACTTAAAAATCTTTAACATATCAATATTGGTCCATTAATTATAACAAAGGTACCATAATAATGTACCAAGTTTATAATAGGGAAAGCTGGGTAAAGGTATATGGAAACTCTGTGTTGTATTCTCAATTTTTCTGTAAATCTGCCCTAAAAAATAAATTATTTTTTTAAAAAAATACAAGGATAATATAAAGTGGCAGCCAAAAAAAAATTGAGCTTGTTTTTCTTCGGGACGCATATTCTCGGATCTTTTTTGCAACACTGGAAAAGACAGGGACTTTGTACCACTAGACTTCAAAATTCACTGACGGGAATTAGTGGTCATATTTTATCAAATTTAATTTTTAGAATAAAATACTAAATATAATACTAAATAAAATACTAAGTAAATAAAATACTAAAACAAAACATACAGGTAATGAGGCTTTCATTACCTATAAGTTGAAAATATACAAGGATCACTATTACAAACTATACTGGTTTCCGAACTTCTTTTCAAAAGAACATTTGCCACTGCTAAAATAAGTCACAGCTATAAAGCTATTTAAATCATAAATTACAAAATTTCAGAACTGCAAAGAACCTTAGATGCATGCTATGCTAACCTCACTTGAGGGGGCAATTACGCTCCCCCTTATCCTTATATATTTAAAGAGGAATGTGAGAATCTGCTTATTACTACTTAGCCTCATCTCAACAGGCTTATGTGTGACTACATTTTCGTTTTTACTTAGATCTTTTAGAATCTCCCCCCGCCCCCCGCCACTTTCCCCCGCCTCATTTTTTCAACAGAACAGTTTTATATTGGAGGAATCTAATGGATACTTACACCTACTCCCTGAATTAATTCTAATTGTGTGCACAGTAGAGCAATGGTTTTAATAAAGGATTGGAGCTTTATTAATAGAGAAGATTTAAATGATGACAAAATATCTCGATCTTAATGTGTAAAAGTAATTTTAAGTAAAAGTAATTTGGCTGTGTTGAAAAACCTGAGGCAGGAGTTACTACAGTATATTATGGTTAGAATGGTACATTCCTTTCCTAAGAAAAGGTGGTTTAAATAGCGTGGCATCTGTTTTTTGATGGGATGCTTTTGAAACACTTCTGAAGCTGCTGCATAATATTCTAGTGTAGAGTATAGATTTGTTAGTACTAAATGCACTAACAAAGGAAATGATTTGTTCAATGTCAATCTACCAGTCAGAAGTAACTGGCGGTCTGGTCTTTCAACTCCCAATTCTAAGATTTTCCCCTATACAGTTAATTCCAATGTGTCAGAAATATCCAATATTGTTTTAAAATGGCATTGGAATATCTCTCTCGAAATGTACACTACATAAAGGGGTATTCTTTGGAGGGGCAAGTGGGGTAGCAGAAAGGGATGGAGAACCCACCAGTGTTATAGAATCTAAACTCATGTCTTCCTTGCACATAAATTTTACAAAAACAGTTTTCATTTACATTTAGTCCTAATGTTGTACAGGTAACTCAACTTATAGACAAATTCTGAATTTAGTGCACTATTTATAGACAAACTGCATGTAAACTGCCACTACTACATGATATATAGATAAGTTCTGCTTCTCACTATTGCACCGAGAGGAATGAGGAAAGAATACACATCAAGATTATGCAATGGCAAGTTCTGTGATCTGAAAGCAAGGAAAACCTTAGTCCGTTAACTTCTGACTGCAAGAGTATTTTAGTTCCTACACTAGAATTACTAAATCTAGCATTAGTAATTAAGATAAAGCCGAGCCAATAGGAATTAAGAGTCTCAATTACAATGTAAGTATGATCAAGAGATGCAAACCCTCCTGTTAGATGACTAGTAAAAAGGCTTCTGATGCTGTTATGGTGTGGGACACTTGGGGTAGTTCCATAAAACCATGCCCTGGTCACAGGCCAACACTGTCATATGCTACTGGTGGGTTTTAACAGCTCAAAACTCCTTGGTTCCCCCCGCATCTGGACAAGTACCTTAGAGCACAGGTCCCCAATCCCCGGGCCACGGACACGTACTGGTTCATGGCGTGTTAGGAACCAGGCCGTGTAGTAGGTGGTAAATGGCGGGCAAGTGAGCGAAGCTTCATCTATATCTGCAGCCACTCCTCGGCGCTAGCATCACCACTTCAGCCCCACCTCAGATTATCAAGCATTGGGTTCCCACAGGAACACCCGACCCTGGTGCCAAAAAGGCTGGGGACTGCTGCCTTAGAGAACCTAGAAATGATCAATGTACCATCCTGAGTCACCATGATCTGATCGACGTAAGCTCATCTATCTCAAAGGATAATGTACAGACTATTAGAAAAGCATCCCTTGGTTCGAAGAACGGGGGATTCAGGGTTATTAGACAGCTGGGAACACCACTTCCTCCTATTACATGAAAATAAATAGGCCTTTTTCTCTTTTGCTCTTAATAGTAAGAGCAGGTAATTCAATAAACTCACTTGTGTAGATAAAGATCAGGATACAGGATCCTCCCTCACTTTAATTCCCCCACTTAATTTAAATGGCCAACTAAAACGGTGATATAATCTATTTGTACTTGACACATATGTCAACCAGGAAATCCAGAACAAAGTCAATAAAAATGTTATGTTTTCTAGCAGGCAATACATGTTTATAAAGATAAAATGGAAAGAACACAGATATGAGTGAACAATTTTTATTGAAACCCTCAAAGATTAAAGAGGACCAAATGGTGAGTTTGGGTACCATAACAAAAAAAAAAATCTCACCTAACTGTACCATCATTCACAGGAATGAACAAACCCAAACACGACAAAATTCAAATTCTCATGTAATTGCTACAAGTGACTGTAAATGAACTAATCATTTTATCATAACCTTTCTTTAATCATACAAAAAAGAAGGGAATTTACATGGCATAACAAAAGATATGCAAAACTTAATGAAAACACAATTTTCTTAAATTTCTCAAACTTATTTTTATAGGATGCAGAATGCACTTGAAATGATTAAATGACTTAAGCTGATTCTTTTTTTTTATTGCAAACTGCTTTAACATCAGCTTAACCTCCATGCATGGTATTCGAAAAGAACACAGCTTTTGAATTAGAAAGATCACTTAAGTTAAAATGAGGAATTAAGTATTGAAATGAGGAAAAGGCCGGGGTTTCTTATGAAAGGAATCTTCAAGTACCAATATGTATAGAGAAAGAATACTAATTTTGGTTACATTTTCCCCCTTACTGTTAAATATACAAACTATAATACCTTTCAAAATAAAATACCCACATGATAACTTTAATAAGAAACATTCAAACCAGATCTTGGAAAAACATTAAGCAAGAAACTTACTGGGCCAATGGTGTCTTTGTGATGATTCAAATATCTGATTATATGTCTCCTGCTATATAGCACAGGTTCTCTCCCTTTTTGTCCCTACAGTTAAGAAACAGTTGTGCTATTGAGACAACCTGCGATAATTTCATTTAGAGGAAAAACATTTTGCAATACACTGAAAGACCAAGGAGGAAGATAAAGTAGGTGCTCTAAAGAAGACTTAAATGAGAAAAAAAATTACCGATTGAAAAGATAGTTTTTATTTCCAAAGGAATGCTGCACCCATTTCACTTAATATTAGAGACCCAGGTTAAAGGCACTGGGATGTACTGCTCACGACGGACAGACCGCTCCGCTGGACATTGCTGAGTCCGCTACCGCAATCAGCCTGCTTGCTGAGTGTTTCTGTGATACTTCTTACACAGAAACCAAACGCAAATTAAAGTTTCAATCCATTTATAATATAACTAGTTTTATAAAAATATTCAGAGTTGCTAATGAAGCACCAAGAAAAAGAGAACCTCACAGCGAGGACTCAGATCCTTTCTACGAGGTCACCCCTTCACGCTTTTCTCTAATAGGCCCTTCGGACTGACAAGTCATCTTTGACGTGTCCTACCTACACAATCTTAGGGATGTAGAACATTTCTGTGGTTACTATACCCAAATGCCAATTTTCATTATAAATAGTTAAGAGACATGTTACAAGATTTCATGGCTTACTCTTAAAAAGGTAAAACAGGTGCAACTTTCCTTTAAGAAAGTTTTTATTTTATAATATACCATTAATATTTTAATGTTCCCTTCAGTAAACACTGATATAACTACAACGGGACTACCAAAGACCTGTGAAGTAGCTACGATTATCTACAAATACTGTATTTTATTTCATTTGAATACAGTATCTGTACATTTTAAGAAAACATTGTACAAAAATTTTATATAAATGAAAGCCTCAAAGAAATGTCACTAAATTTTTGAATTGAAGTGACCAAAGATGTAAATGTAAATGAAAACATTTCTAAACATGATGTAAACATAAATGGAGTAATGCAAAACACCAAGGTATTCAAATCTACTGTATTGCTATTTTCACCCTTATCGTATCTTTCTACATAGCTTTCTCCTTTTAGAACAGTAATATAAGGGGCAATACATTATCTTCATAACCTTATGCCATCAAATCAGTTAATACAGACGCTTGACACAATTATACAAAATCAATTTGTTTCAAGATACAAAATTAATGTTGATATGTAATTAATGAAAAAAAAGATGTTAGATAACTATAAGAATACCCAGATATATGCTGTATTCCCATTTATATAGATCTGATCAATAAAACATCAACACATTCACTTACTGATTTAATCCATGGATCAAGGCCATATTTTCAAAGTATTTTAAGGATGCCAGGACACTGCAAAAGCTGGAGAAGAGTTGAGGAACAGTATATGCTTGCTAAACAAGAACTATGTTTATTTAGCTAGTGAATACCTACAGTAATAAATTTTTACTTCATGATAGCAATCAGGCTCGCAAACACCCAGAAACAGGAATTAAGGGTTTTAAATGTAGTTATAAAGGTCATAAAAAGTCTGATTAGACTGAGGTACATTTACTCAAAATTTTGAGATTCATTAAGTGGTAGCAAATAAAATAATTCCTCAGACAAATGCACATTTTTCAGTATACATGTTATTGGGGGAAAGAGGGGAGAAGAATGTGCATTAACTGGTGAAGTCCACCAAGCTGCATATCAATATTCTGTTACACCAAACAGTTTGAAGACAAGGGAAATGTTCTAATATAATCTCAGATTATGTTTTATTTGGCTAAAATAGAGCTTAAGGTTGCTTTGCCATATTAAAAGTTTACTACAATAATTTTTCACATAAACATTTAGACTTGAACTCCAGGACTAAATGTGGCATGATTATTTTGCTTTTAATCTGTCAAATAGCTAAAAATCGACAATTTAAAAACTACAACAAAGAAAAAGTTGAAGCAGTGTGACTCTTACATCATTGAACCACTTCTAATGGTTAACTGTTAGTATTTAACAAATTCAAAGAGTTAATGAATCCTTGCATTCATTCAGTCTTCTGTGCCTTAGCTAGGATGCATAATTACAAAAGACAGCAGATACTGGTAAAAGCTTCAGGACAGAAAGTGCTTGACGAAGTTACAGTTCTCAAGTGTGTTTGGTGAGAGTATAAGGGCAGATGCGCTGATGATAACCATTACAAGAGTCAATTCTGTGTTAAAGAGTTCAAAGATGTCACCTTAAGCAGAAAAAAAGCTTTAATAACGTCTTCTTTGACTTATTAGGCATTTCCAGAGTCTACTTCATTAGTGTTGTAATTCTAACAGGACATCTTCATACAGTTATTGTTTGTTTCTATTTCTCTCCTGAAAGAAAAACACACACAAAAAATTTTAAAAAATGCCATCATCAAGATTATGAGCACACATAATATAAACCATCTCCCTAATAAGTTCTTCAAGTACTGTTTCGAGTCATTAGTTAAAACCGTTTTGGTTTACTGTTACCTACACACACCACGGTAGAATGATTACTACAAAATACTTCAAAATAAAGAACTCCAACACTTACTTAAAGAGCCTATTTTCCCATAGTATTTTAAGGTGAGAATATTACAATAACGTCTTTCTAGCCCTCTCGATAAGTTCTTGATGGTGACGTTATCAAACACACTAAAAGGACTCTAGCAATTTGAAAACTAATGACTGAAGTAGGGTTAGGAGGAAAGGAAAAGAGTTGCATTAAATTTTCAGTGTTAATTGAAAAATACTTTGAATCACAAACTTCCCCCATATAATATTTTACATTATATCTAACTTTCTATTATCAAGAAATATTAATATTTATCAATAATTCCTTCTAAGACAGCAGAAATCCCTTGAATGAAGGGTAAACTGAGTGATATATTCATGTTTACTAACCAAGTATCTACCAACAATACTTCTGTCTTTCAACTGAATGCATCAGGTAATCTGTTTGTACCAACTTGTTTTAATGTGTAACTAAGTGGTTCTCAAACCTCAGCAAGCATCAGAATCACCAGGAATGCTTGTAGAAACACTGACCATTGGGCCCCCAAAGGCTGAAGCTGAACCTATGAGCTTGCATTTCTAACAAGTTCACACTTAGTCCTAATATTGCTGGTCCAAGAACCACGTTTGAAATACATAAGACATTTTTTCACTACTCCCATTTTATTTTTTCATGAGTAATACATGTTCCATAATAAATAAAAATATACTTTGCAAATGGTCAAATTAGTTTCCCATCCTCTGTGATACCATTAGAAAATTACATTTTAAATTCTAAAGAGAACTTTAAGTTCTTTGCTACTAAATTCCTTTTTTTTCATTTTTATATAATCCTAGAACCTGAATAACAGTATTTAATACAGAAAGCTAGTAAATGCCCTACTTCATGATAACTACAAATAAAATTACTTCAGACTCATAAGAATCAGTGAGATACTCTGAAATCAAAGAACAAAAACAGACACAGAGCTATCTAATTAATCACATTTCAAAAGGATAAGCAATAAAAACAACAAAGAATAAGACAAAAAAAAAAAAAACCCCGGTACCAGGAAGCTGTAGTCTAATTTTACAAAGGCCCTAAAGCTTTTTAAAAACCAGCCTAAACATAAGTTTAGTTCTTAGCTGAAGGAAACAGATTTGTATGAGAAATTTTAAATAGATATAAAACACAGTATTAGAGGTGAAGCAAGAGGACCTAACAGCACACTGCTCACTCTTCCCCCAAAACTACAGAAAAAAAGGCGATGCTATTTAAGGATAAGTTCAACAAAGAGAGTTTTAATTCAAGATGATGAGTTGTATCAATGAGGATCATGTGTTATTTAAACACAAGTTAGAGAGGTTTCAGTTTGACCGTAATCAACTATGCACTTTAACTGAATCAAAATTCGTAGGTTACATACAAAGACATCTATGTATGTAAGGGGTAACTTCTAACTCAGTAGACAAAAAAAGGGGAAAAAACTTCCGTCAATCAAACAGGGCAAAAGGGGGCGGAGCCTGAAAGATCTAGATTAATTAGAAAGCACAAAATAAGATGACAGTCACTTACATGTATACCATTTATACATTTATATCAAGTAGTTGAAAATGTAGATTCATCAAGAAAACACAAAATAGATCAGATTTTACGTTTTTAAAAATCTATGTACAAAAAATAAATTTAAAATGTAAGAACACAGAAAAGTTAAAATAACAAACCAAATGAAGACTATATATTATAGATACTATGTTAATATCAGACAAAATAGATTTTAAGGCAAAAAGCACCGTTTGAAATAAAACAATCACTGTATACTGAATAAATTTTTGTAAAAAGCTTTAACAACAGTAAACTAAAAATACAATTCTACATATACTAAAAGTTATCAGAATAACGAAGAAAACCTGACAGGTTCCTAATTATAGCAAGAGAATTTAACATTATTTCTCTTGGTAACTGGTAGAGCAGACAAGTTAGTAAAAATATAGATTATATATACAGAATACAGGAAATAGCCAAATAATTAAGAATACACATTTAACAACCATAAAAACTGACTATATGCCAGACCAGAGAACAAATCTAAATAAATACTAAAGAGTCATTTTCTTACATAAATTTTAGAAGCAAAACAAACCAATAATCCCAACAAAAACACACAAAAAAATCTTATCCATATTTGGAAATTCAAACACATACACTTCTAATAGTCTCCCCCAAAAAATCATATGGGAAACTTGAAACCTTTTACATCAGTACAATAGAAAAATGGAACACCTTAAACTACCCCCAACATTTAAATATTTACATGCAGAATTTTTTTAAAAGCTGAAAATAAGCTCATCATCAAACTCAGTATGTTAGAAAATGAATAACAGTAAGTCCTCAAATGCAGAAGGAATGAAATGAGATAGCAACAGAAAAAAAGAAACAAAACAAAAATAAAGAACTAAAGAACGAAAATTAAAAGCTGATGCTCTGAGAGAAAGAAAACTTAATAGAAAAAAAATCTCTGATTAAAAGAAAAAAGGAAAAGAAGCATAAATATGAAGATTGATAGCGCTAAAAAAATATAAATACTATTAATGTCATATGCCAATATGAAAACCCTTGGACAACTTACCAAAAGAAACTCAAGAATAAAAAGAAAACTTGAAGAGACTTATAGTAACTAAATAGCTTTAGCCAATAATTAAAAATCTACCCCAAACAAAAAAGCCACCAGGCTCATATGGTTTTACAGGTGCACTTGAGTAATTGTTCTAGAACCGATTACACTTACACAACTGTTCCAGAGACTGGAAACAGACATACTATTTCCTGATGTAATCTGTTAGCAATACTTTGATGCTAGCAATGTCAAGCATGAGAAAGCTAACAGTTCAGTCTCACTTGTCACAAAGGATCTCTTAAGGGCTATTTTGCTGAAATAGAGTGTAGTGGAGCAAAGGCCAGTGAGAAGGCCAGTACAATAATAATAGCTCTTAGAACAAGGTGAAAGATGCAGAGTTAGTGAAAACTGTTTGGATTCAGGATACAATCCGAAAGCAGAGCCAACAGGACTTACAGACAGACCGATTAGATATGGGGTGAGAAACATAACTATCAAGAATGAGACCAGTGTTTGTAGCCTAAACAACTGGAAGAACAGTGGCGCCCTCTACAAAGATGGAGGTTTTGAGCCAGCAAAGAAAGGAGTTCTATTAAATTTAAGATGCTTATTAAACAAGTAAGTGAAGATATCAAATAGGCAATCAGATACACTAGTCTGGAGGTAAGAGGAAAGGTCCAGGATAGGCATACAGATGTGTAGTCCTCAGCATGGTGAACGTCCATCAATAAAACGTAAGCCCCCCCTGAAGCTGATACCTCTGCTTTAATATAGGTACATATCACACAGCCCACATCACATTACATGAACTGGTATGTCGTTGGAGGTAACACAGGGAGAATTGGAACCTGAATTACACAAAAGGAGCCACGGCCCAGTACATGGGAGAAGGACTAAGCCTCTAGTGATAGCTCAGAAGATGACGCACTAAACATGTACAACTCTTTAGGATTACGAACTTTCCAAAGTGATTCAAAGAACTCTATTATTACTTTTAATAATGGCTGACAATTCAAAGAATAATTTGCAGAGGGATCCCTCCTCCCTCCCTTTTCCATTGACAGAGTGAGGCCTCAACTAGGCAGGTTCAGAGATTTGAGTGCTTCAGTCTCTGCCAGTGGGGCTTCCTCCCCACCCTGAGCTGAGCAAAGGCTCTGGAGACCACCATATGATCATATGGCTAAGAAATTGGCCTGTGAAGATGAACTCCAGGGGGAAGTTTACTTGTCAACCCATGGTTGGGTGGTTTTGTTGTTGTTGTTTTTTTTTTTGTTTTTTTTTTTTGACAGAGCTTATTAACAGATGTGCTAAGAAAAGAAGAGCCAGACAATAAAATTTCCTTCGGTGCCCTCAGAGGAGCCAAGAGCTTACCCTTAACATTACAGGTAAATAATGTATTTCCTTTTAATCAGTCGTAGGTTTATCACCATTAGAAATATTTCAGTAACCAGACTTGTGCACAAATGAGCCACCAGGGAAAAAGTAACTGTGCATCTAAGAAGCCAAACCATCTAGAAAGAAAATGAAGATAAGCATTCAGAACACAATTAAAGCAGAACTGCTGAAGGAGGCCGTGAACGCCTAGGGGGAAAAAGTTCACAAGTGGGCACGTGAGATCCAACTGCAAGGGAAACAAAGACCCTAGCT